TCTATATTTTATTTTTTAATTAGTTTACATATTTTTGTTTATGTATGATGTCCTCCATTTGTTGTTTTTCATCTCTCACAATTTTTTTTGTACAAATAGAAGAGTAAAATAAATGCTCTTGATTTTATTAAAAATGTATATATATATATATATATATATATTAAACTACATTGTAAAAAATGGAAGAAGTAATGAGATCTCATAACAGAAAAGAATAGACATTGGCCAAAGTGTTAATATATAAAAATACATGTGCTAAATCTTGATATCTAACTTTCACTAAACAAAGTATAATTACTTTCCTTAAAAAAAATGTAATTAGTGTAAGTGTAATTATTGATATCTAAGTCTTAATAAGTTGGTGACGCATAATTCTCTTTTTTTCCTTTATTTTTCTATTTCTTTTACTAATTAAACTATCTAAAGTGATTGTTGGGTGGAAATGGACCATAGTGATGCATACATTCATTTTGGTTTTTGTGACCTAATCTTAGAGATATCGTGGAGCCACATTTTTCTAATGGAACACAAACTATAGACAAATTCATTTCAATTGGAAAACATTATTATTACTATAATATTGTTTTTTCTTTCAATATTTCACGTAATTGCATACTCGAATTCAAGATAATTCGCTAAGGTAGAATAATCCAGTGTTAGTTTATTCAATTTTCAGTAAAACATCGAATTACGTTTTAATAATAATAATAATAATAATAATAATTTATTGTTATTAGTAGTAAAACATTTCAGAAAAACAGATAAAAAAATAAGCTTTTGTTTCTGTATTCTCCTGTCCACCTCCATATCTCAAGAAAAATATTTAAAATATTTTTCTCATAATTTTATTTTTTATTCTAACTTCTTTTTCTTCTAGTGTATAACTTTTGTACTTTCATTCTTTGACTATTTGATTATTTTTACTATCACCTCCATTGAATATCTTTTCTAACAATTAAAAGTAAGTAATAATTAATATTATATGTGAATTACATCTTTTTGCACTCAAATTAAACAAATACTCTCAAATTGCTCTATATAAAATAGTATTATAAAAATGAGATTGAACTGAAAAAGTCAATTCGGAACTACATTTCGAATTGGGTGTTCTAGAAATGTATTCCAGATTAGGTGTTCTTATATGTAATTCGGATAGGGTGTTTTGGAATGAATTTATAGAAAGTAAATTCGAAAATGCATTCTAAATTTGGTATTCTAAAATGCGTTTCCAAAAAGACCAATCTGAAAAAATATTTCGGATTGAGTATTCTAGAATACATTTTTGGATTAGCTTTACTAAAAATACATTTTAGAACATTTAATTTGGAATGTATTTTTTTATTGGTCTTTCTGGAAATACAATACATGTCGGAACACCCATTCTAAAATATAATTTTGGTTTGACTTTTTTGTAAATGTATTTTGGAATAGGTGTTCTGGAATATGTTTATGGAGGTGAATTTATAATACATTTTAAATATGGAGATGAAGATAATAGTATTGGTAAAATGGGGTTTAACTTAATTATGGGAGTGTACGGAGGAAATTATAGGGAAACAGGGCCCAAAAAATAACTTCCAGCTTATGGACCCAATTAGTTTCAATCGCTGAATCATTTGGTTCATGGACCCTAAAATCTATGGATATATGTGGGCTTCGGGCTTTTTACTAACTAGACCCAATGCACCGTAAATATACCTTATTAACACATATTTCTCTTGGAAAAAATAAATATATACTTGCTTTAAGCTTCTATCTCTGACCTGAAACTCTCTTCTTCCGCTTTTTTATTAGCATTCTTGCATTTTTCTTACACAAAATTCATAAGCTGATATAATTAGGGTTTGTGATGCTTACCTGATTTTTTTTTTAATTTGGTCAAACTCAATATATTTTGAATTTGTGTTCAATCCCGTTTAAATTCTATATTTTCTTAAAAGCATACATTTTTTAGATAATTGTATATTAGTAATATTTTTTATGTTAATAGACGATTTTTTCTATAACATAATATTATATTTATGATGATATCATTTATTTTAAATATGAAATATGGGAGGGAAACTTGAATAATTAAAATCAGAGTGAAAAAAATAAATGAACACAGAGCACTGAATCCAAGTGGACCCTTTATCCCTAAAGTAATATGACTCAGTTACAAATCAAATCATAACCAGACTGGGCCTAATCTGTTAATGGTTTAGGCCCAACCACTATCTTTAGGGCCCACTTTGTGTGATTTTATATGGTAAAGATGAAGCATGAGATGGCCCATTTACAATCTTTAATTGTGCGATATAATTTTTCGGATTTTAATTATGTCAACGAATTAATGCAATATTATAAATTTACTATTTTATTTTCTATAGTTTCAAGTCTACCAATTGAATCTTAATTTTTTTTAAGGAATCAATTGAGTTTTGTAAGTATCATAAATACAAGAATTTCCAATTTATTCAATTAAAATATTGAGAACTAACTTGTATAAAAATTTAAAATACAGAATTAGAAAAAATATATGAAAGAGTTTTACAAATTAACTTATACAAACTAATTTTAATTAATGAAAAAGTTTGTTAAATGTTTACGAAGACAAAGAGATCCATAATCAAAACATTGTGGAATTTAAACCATATATAACTATAATAAAAAAGTGAAACTAATCCATAATTAAATCTTTGTTTGTCAAGCATGACTCATTGGTTATGTGTGATTATGCATGGATTCGATTGGTATTGGTCAATTTAGGACAACGTTTGAAAAATCGAAATTTGAAGGCATAATAAAAGATGTTTTGTTTTTGAGACTTTTGAGAAGAGTTTGGATGGTTGTGTCATGGCATTAAATAATGAGAAAGATTAAACCATTTTGGACAAAACTATATGGTTGAGTATGACTTCTCATTCAAAATAAATAAATAAATAAACCATCACAAATAATTTGTGAAGAAAATAATTAAATAAATAGATAAAAAATTAAAAAATTATGCCAAACTTGAAATGAGGTATCATACAGTGTTTGGTGGAACCACTCATGTCACTGCCACTCACTTTTTAATCATATCACACATATAATATGAATTCATAATCTTTCACTTCATATACATAAATTCAAACCATTTTTTTTTCCAATAATAATTAAGAATGAAAAAATTGGGTGAGTGAGGACTATTTTTCGCCTTGTGTCTAACTCATAACTAGCAGTGGTAATAGATCTTAGTCCATCCGATATATTAATAGGTTATTCGGTTATAAATTTTTTACATAAATTTTTAAAAAATACACTTTTAAATATATAAATAATTTTTAAGTTTTTAGTTATTAATTAATATTTGTATTAGATAAATTAAAAAATTATTATATTTATGTCTTAAAATAAGTAATTATAATTAATAATTTAAATGTAATTAATTAATATTTATAATTAAAATTATAATATATTTACATATTTTAATAATATAATAAAAAATATTTTTAATTTTAATTTTAATATATAAATATATTTTTAAAATCAACCAACATCTTAATTTAATATGTTTCATCCTTAATTCATTGGGATGAGGAATTAGACAGATGAACCAAAATGGAATTATCAACTAAATTTAGTAAAAATTAAATTAAATATTTTGTGAAAGAAATTTAAAGCAAATTTATTTAGAACTTTTAGTGCAAAAACAATGGCTGAAATAGAAGGGTCAACATCAACATTTTGCGTTTTCATATACAAGTTGGAGGCTAGAATTGAGGAAAGTTCTTTCTAAACAATTTGTTTTGGGATTAAAGAAAATCCAACTTGACACCTCAATTAATTGGTGGTCAAATATTTGCAAAATCGAAACTGACGCAACCATTGGTGGCTAAACCTTTTTTTAGAAAACACATGTCAAATTTTGTTAATTAATAATATATTTATCAGCAATTGTTTCAAAAGTTTTTAAAATAAAATATTTTATTTTAATATGTATATATAAGAGAAATAATCACTAACAAAGAACAATTATTTTTATTATAAAACAAAAAAACATTTTATTATATTCATGATTAACTCATAATTACATAGATAATTAATAAGCGGACCACAAATGTTAACTTAATGTGTCCCATAATGATCATTTAATAATAGTTGAATGCTTTATTTAATATTTTTAATTTGTTTTTATTGCATCACATTCACATACAAATAAACTTGTAGACTTGGATATTTGGAGTACCTTAAAAAATAACCCTTCTAACTATTTTTAATGTTCAGCAAGGATATTTGATTTTAAACCAAGATATTTTAGATCTATATACCGAATTGTGCATCATAAGATGGGACAATTTTTTATGTTTGTAAATATTACCGAATTTTTTTGTCATGAATATTAAAATAAATGTCTTAAATATTCATAGATTATAAATATATGTATTTAGTTTATTATTATTTATCAGCGATATTTTATCTATTTAAACATTACATTGATGGAGTAATTATACACATAATTGTTATAATAAATCACAAGTTCATGTCATAATGTCTCTATTATTTTGTGTATGGATCTTTCTTTTCAATTGATTTATATGATTCTTCAATTATGTTCAATTTAACATTTAAATGAATTCAAGTAAGATTTGAAAGGAAATTTTATAACTTTTTATTGATTATATATATATATATATATATATATATTAATTTCTCTAAAAATGGGAGATCAAAATTTTGAATAAAAGTTAGTTAACAATAAAATCAAGATAGAGTGTAGTTTAATATTAATAATATTGTTTATGTATGAATTGTTTAATTGAGTAGGTTATCCTTATTTTCTGGGACCATTGAGGCGCATGGATTGATTGAAACAAGTACTACTAATGAGGCGCAGGTATGAATGCAGGATTGTTCTGACATCGACCATAGCGCACGAGTGAGAAAGAATCTTGGGAGTTTCCAAGGACCAAAAAAGAGGTTGTCTTGTCTCCAATTAGATTCGGTTCCGCCCACGTGACACCAACTGATTTCATATAATGGGCAAGCTGGCGGTGGGGGCCGCGGTTGTTTGCGCTGCCGCAGCCTGTGCAGCGGCGGCTCTGGTGGTGCGCCACCGCATGAGGAGCTCCGGAAAGTGGGGTCGCGCGGTGACCGTGGTGAGGGAGCTTGACGAGCTGTGTGGGACCCCAATTGCGAAGCTGAGACAGGTTGCCGATGCCATGGACGTTGAGATGCACGTGGGTCTTGCTTCTGAAGGTGGCAGCAAGCTCAAGATGTTGATCACCTATGTCGATAATCTTCCCTCTGGGTTTGTTCTCTTCAATTCAACCACCCCTTTTCTAAGGATTTGCCTTTTTCTGCTTTGATTTCACTCTGTTTTCATGTTTTTTGTTTTTTTGTTTTTTATTTTGTTGTACATGATGGTAATGGCTTAGTGAGTTTTTGTTTGGTTTCTCGTATCATCTTTGTGAATTGAGGATTTGTTTGGATAAACTTATGAATAAGTACTTGTATGTAGGAGAAGAAAAATAATTAGGTAAATAAATTAAGTTTCTTTTCAGAGTTAAAATTATCTTTCAGACAAGCTAAATTAGAGAGTTTTTCTTGTTCTCATAAGATGAAGCTTTTGTTGTTCTGATGAGATAATATTCTCCGTAGAACATTTATATGACAAGAAAATAAGAAGGAAAAACGAGATAAGTTTCTCACTGTATAGGAGAAAATTTATTCCATTGATGCTTATTTTCTTCTCCTATAAGAGCTTACAGAGAAATTTATCTAAACAAGATCTACAAATTACCTTGTATATGGCTAATTTAATTTATGAAAAGAGTCCAATTCATTTTATTTTATTCGAAATTTATCTAAACATGGTATAAAAAATGATGATTTAGATGTTGGTCATTATTTCTGAATGGGTTGCTTTGTTCGACCTTTATTTTTCTGTGCTTTCCGACAATTCTTTGTTGATCATTTGTGGTGATAAAAGCATCCAGTTTTTTAATGGTTCAGTCCCACTACATGATGATAGTTTAGTAGTAGTAAAGTTTTGGATTGTTTATGGTGTGTTCTAGGCAATCTAAAGGAAAAATGGCGAAAGAGGGGGTTTGAATGATTGAGTTTTTCTGTGTTTTTTAATGGATTAAAAAGAAATGGCTAAATATTTTTGTCATATGAATTTGTAACTCTTGAAGGTTTCTTGTTTTTTTGGTTCATTCTTTACTTTGTTGCATTATTTACAGGGATGAGAAAGGACTCTTTTATGCCTTAGACCTTGGTGGCACAAACTTCAGAACCCTTCGTGTGCAATTAGGTGGGAAGGAGAAAGGTGTTGTCAACCTAGAGTCTGAAGAAGTTTCCATTCCTCCTCATCTGATGACTGGTTCTTCACATGTAAGTCTGTTATGAGAAATCTATCAGAGTAATGAGCCTAACTACTCTCTAATATATTAATTATGGGATTGCAGGAATTGTTTGATTTTATAGCAGCTAAACTTCAAAAGTTCGTTAGTGCTGAGCCTGAAGAGTTTCACCCTCCCCCTGGCAAACAAAGGGAACTGGGTTTTACCTTCTCCTTTCCAGTAAGGCAAACATCAATTTCATCTGGGACTCTAATAAAGTGGACCAAGGGTTTCAATATTGAGGATGTGGTAGTTCTTGTTACCTTCATTTTTTTATATTCAATTCAATTCTAGCTTCCTTACCTTGCCATTCTTTCTTGCTATCATCTCATTTGCTTTGAGCATTACTATGGTGCATAATCCAGATACATTGATGAGTATTCTTCTCTGTCAGCATATAATCTACTGCTTTTGCATTATAATCTAGAGTCTGAAATTACGATGCTGACCTTTTATAGTTCCCAAATGTTTCGTACAAACAGTTTTCAAATGGAGAATCCCTACTAGTTTTCTCTTCATCTCTCAGCTACTCTTCAATTCAGCAGGGTTTTGACAGTTACTCTTTTATTGATTCTGTTTGGGTTGTTTGTAGGTTGGAGAAGATGTGGTGGGTGAACTAACCAAATCCTTTGAAAAAATTGGTCTGGATATGCGTGTTGCAGCTCTAGTGAGTCTCGCTTCCCTTTCTTTATAACTTTTTTTCTTTTTCCTCTTAAGTCTGGCTTTGAAGAATAATTTTCATTTCCATATGGCAGAAAATTTAGATTAATAAGTTTCGTAGTTTCTTTTAAATTTCCTGGTCTCGTAACATATTAAACTGGACACAAAACCTAACTTGGAGATGTGATGTAGGTTAATGACACAGTTGGAACAGTAGCTAGAGCAAGATTCAGCAATCAAGATGTCATTGCTGGAGTTATTCTTGGTACTGGGACAAATGCAGCCTATGTAGAGTCTGCACATGCAATTCCAAAATGGCAAGGTCTTCTATCCAAATCTGGAGAGATGGTAAATATGTAGTGATACTTATTTTCTTCTGTGATAGAACTGTGTTTACCGTGATTCCATGAGGCAAATAATTATTAACTGTGTGTCAAAGCTTGCTGATTATATATTGATTCTATAGGTTATAAACATGGAATGGGGTAATTTCTGTTCCTCTCATCTTCCTCTAACAGAATATGATCAAGATCTAGATTTAGAGAGCTTAAACCCAGGAGAACAGGTAATGATTATCTATCTATCATTGGTTTCAACGGCTAATGTGCATTTATAATACTCTTTCACTCTTGTTTGCAGATTTTTGAAAAGATAATTTCTGGTATGTATTTGGGTGACATTGTAAGGAGAGTTTTGTTGAAGATGGCCGAAGAAGCTGACTTCTTTGGAGATACTGTTCCTCCAAAATTGAAAATTCCTTTCATAATTAGGTATGAATATTTGTCCATTCAAACGGTCACTAATTATCTTGAATTATACTTGCTAATTGCCTTTTGGCCTTATTTTAGAAATTTCTTGTATTTCTACCTTGCTAATAATAATTCAGAAACTTCGTCTGCATATTGATTGGTTTGAATTATTAATTGAGCAAGCTAAAATGCATGCTCTGTTCAGATTTCTTCACATGTTCCATCTTAGTATCATGTATCATATAAGACTGATGAATCCACCTTTTTTCACTTCTATCTTATTTCTCACATTGACATTTGCTCATCATTATTTTCTTCCATTTCTAAACTTGTAATCAGCACAAGAATGCTGCAGTATCAAATTGGGTTGTCATTGTCTGTTTTGGGACATGCTTGGTAGCATAGCTGGTAGGAAAAGTGGAAACTAGGGAAAGAATGAAAATGGAGATGGACGGATTTTATGGTTTATAAAGGCAGGTCAAAATTGGGTAAATTGGCAGGATTGTACAGTTATTCGCCTCTTTAGTTTATTATAGTTGAAGGCTAAAGGAATACTGCTGCAAATACCTACCATACATTCTCTATAACTATAATATTTTAAGATGTATGGGCGAATCATAAGAAAACATTTTATGATTAAATTATTTATTTACTTCACATTGTTTTCAAAAGTCCAATGAAAGATTTTGTGAAGAGCGGAAGGCAAATTGTGGCCTCTCATTTTTTTTATCTTACTAAACAAGCATATCAAGAGTTTTGATTGTTCTTTTTTATTGCTTCCTGGTTTTAGCCTTCTCAAGGATTAAACAATACCAAAAATTGATACTACGTAAGTGGGATTTCCGCAGGGAAAGGCTTCTTATATGATTTTCAAACCTGTGTGAGAGGGGGGTCACATATACACCGTTTCATTTGTGTTTCCCCAATTTGAGTTGTACACATCTTCATTTGTATGACACTATTTATTTGTATCAGAGCTTTCTGATTTTTTTAGTGTCTTCTTTTAATGGGATGTAACAGGACACCTGACATGTCTGCAATGCATCATGATACATCTTCAGATCTGAAGGTGGTTGGAATCAAATTGAAGGATGTATTAGAGGTATCGATGCTTTACTGACCAATTTGAATATAAATATGCATGATTGTTCACACATTTATACCATGTTAACTGTTTTGCGTTAGTTAGATATATATGGTAGGAAATTTTGGTGAATCTGTTGTGTTGTGGTCTTTCATTATAACATATTGATCCACGTTATGTTAAGAACACTTAACAAATATAGGTTGGTCGGTATTGCTCCTTTCCAAAAGAAAGTGATTCAGTTTTCTCACTGTTTTCCTTTCTGTCAGATCAATAACACATCCCTGAAAATGAGGAAGCTTGTTGTTGAAGTCTGTGATATTGTTGCTACCCGAGGAGCTCGACTCTCTGCTGCTGGTATCTTTGGCATCCTCAAGAAAATAGGAAGAGACACAGTAAAGGCCGGGGAGAAACAGAAATCAGTTATAGCACTGGATGGAGGATTGTTTGAACACTATGCTGAATTCAGAAGTTCCTTGGAGAGTACACTAAAGGAGTTGTTGGGAGATGAGGCAGCTGATACAATTGGCCTTGAGCACTCTAATGATGGCTCTGGAATTGGAGCAGCCCTCTTGGCAGCTTCTAACTCCCAGTATTTGGGAGTGCAAGAGTCCTGAAGATGTGGTTTAATGCTAAAGTAAGCCAGTGTAACACTAGTTTCATTTTTTTCCTACACCTGATATAGATCAACAGATTGAAGCAAAAAGGTCGTAGTTCCTAGTCCTAGATACCTTTCAACAGAAGGGAGGACCAAGTCCATTGTTGCGGGAGGTATTTGTAGGAATGATTGTTTTTGCTGCTTCTTGGCTAATTACTGGGGCATTATTTTGGGTAGTGTTTGTCTCTCTCACGTCAAGGAATAATAGGAGAGAAATAAACTTTTTGAGTTTTCATGTTTTCTCAATGTAGCATGTTTTCAAGAAAAATAAACCGCGATTAATTTTATTGAATTCAAAGTTTTTCTGGGTTATCAATGAAGAGTAGAGTTGGCTTTAGTTATTATATTCTGATTATCATATCTGAACTCAGCAAAGCACTTCCAGATCTCCCTGTGTGTTTGTTTTAACAAAAATAACTTCAAGATGATCAAAGTGCATATTTTATCTGTAGGTGTTATGTAACCTACATTTATATCCTATGATATTTCTGAAGATGGTAGTGAAGAGACAAAAGGGAACTTAATTTTGGTTAAAGAAATACCGGTCATGAAATAATGTGTTGCCATGTTAATAAGTTTAAGCATTTTCTATTTGCAAACGAAAAATAAATTAGATAATGAAATAAAAATTTGAACAGAAGTTTTCTACTGTATTTTTCAATACAAGTGAAGCGTTTGTTTTTACTTTTCTACTTTATTTTCAAAACATATGGTTCTATTTGCAATTGAAAAATAAATAGACTACATTAAGTGTAATTCTATGTTCAATAATCCCTTTTGCGCAGTTATATGAATACTAAAATCTGTATCAGTATAAGAAAACTAAATGACATCTAGAGAGAAAAAAAGATATAAATTTTATGTTGTAACGTGATAGGGAGAAAGATAAAGGAAAGTGATAGATTATGTTGAGATGTTTAAAAATAGTATCTGTATATCGTTGCTCATCGATATAATTCTTCCAAAAATAAAGGTAGCAAAACACCCAACATAATTCAACATCCATCCAACACTTCAATTTTGTTTTTCGTAGTTACTAAAAATGAACAAACAAATAAAGAAAAAACTTAAAAAATAATAAATAAAGACACTTGGCCTTCGTTTGTTTTGGTTTTTTTTAGTGTAGAGCGCATGATTTAAACAGCCTTAACTAAACCAATTGAATCAGTTGCTGAAGTACGGATTTAAAAAGATATTCATCCTATATGTCTCATCCAATACACTTGTAATGAGCTATGTGCAAAGACATGTATGCATACATTGTGATGAAATGCTATATTGATCCAGCAAAATATTTGGTTCTAGGTTCAGAACAAAATAAACTCATTCTTTACTCAGTTATACACATAATAACCACACTAGCATCAAATGAGGGAGAGATCAACTAGAAACAATTACAATTGCACCTTCAGATATTTAAATAAGTTATACCTTCTAATTGCTCACATTATAAGAAGGGCAAACAAGGAAAAGTGGGAGCAAAAACAGGCAAATGGATTTACTGATTGACATGGAATTGCGTAAAATAGATAAATAAATCACAGTTATACTCGACTGCAAAAACTAAAACACTAGATTGGAAGTGACAATATAACAATTTGTAATTTCATTTAAATATTTCAGTCTCAAAAAAACTAACATGGTAGAACCTGCTGGTTCAAAAAGCTAGAAGGTAATTAATTATGAATTGCATGTAGCAATCAATTTCCCTGGTTATTCAAAATTCCAACAGTAATCCCGAAAATTGTAACCCAAAATCTGTATCAATTTCAAAAAATTATGAGGTTCTTCTACAAGTGTATTTTTCTCGTACTCCGCCCCACTGTCGATATCAAACATTGAAACCCTCAGCACGGAGGCACAGTCGATGAGCCTCAATCCATTTTGCACAAGCTGCTTCACCGTGCTCTACTATGCACTCATCTCGCAACTTTTTAGTGTCTGGGCAAGCACAGCAGATTTTCTTCTTTGGCTTTGTCTCTGCACCAGTTGCCCCGGTCACTGAACTTTCATTTTTCTGCGACCCTTGTATAGCCAAAGCAGGGGAAGAACTTTGCAGTTGTACACCACTCATTGTCTTGTACCCTCTAAAGAACAGAATAATAATAATGAATAACGTGTAACTCAGATAGATATGGAGCTGGAGTGGAGAGATTGAGAATACAAATAAATGAAATTTATTTAGAGAAAAATAAAATTGCAGTGGGATACAAGTAAACGAAATAAACTTAATGTTGGAACTTAGAAATATGTAATATTAATATTGTAAATATGAAATACTATACTCCTGTAATTATGTTAAATAGGATAAATATATTGTTGTGTTTAATATCTATGACATCTAATATAAATATTTGATCCCCTCTCTATCCCATTACAGAAATACACCCCAATAACTTGGCTCTCCTCCTATACACATTATCCTTGCAGTTAAGTATTCAATAGTCTGATCAATGATGTAAATTAACCATGAACTAATAAATCAACATTAAATAGCCGTGCAAGTATAAACAATGCTTAAAACTTCGGATGAACAATGTTACCACACTGGACATCAGCAAAACATATATTCAACATTTATAAACAATGTTGCAAGATGAATCAACATTAAATATCATTGTAAGTATAAACAATGCTGCAAACTTCAATCAAATTCCATCGTCGTCCTGCTTAAGGCAGACATTAAAAAAAAAAAAAAAATCATAGCAAGAAACTTAATGCATTTTTGATTGGTGAAAGAATCACAAAACCAGATATTCTAAGTCTTATAACCTGAAAGACATGACAACAATCAAAGAACATGCATAATCCTCAGAGAGTTGGATTTATGTTACTGAAGCTACTTTCTGTTCCTTCAAATTAAATGTTACTATTCCATCTTTTGCAATAATAAGTGTTTTGGAGCACAATTCCAAAACTAAAACTAAAGATTAGACGAATGATAAGCCCTCGAGGAGCATCGCAAAATAATTATTTTGAATATTAAGGACAGCTTAATAGGAATGATGGCAAACAGTCGGTTAAGCTAAAACATTAGGCCTTACTCATATACTCTCAAAGAGCTAAGTCCACTAAGGTTTAATTTGTAATGATAATAATGCTATTCTTCCCTCCGGGATAGTCTCCTTGCTTGCTAGGGCATTACTCAAGATAACACACTTCATTTTTAGCCTACTTAACATAGGATATCCCTAAAGCCTAAACCCAACAAATAATAACACTACCACACTGCATATGGAAGCTCCGAATGTAAGAAGCTGATTTGAACTTGATGACTTGAATTGCAACCTAGCAGAAAACTAAGATAACAAACAGTACCGCCGAAGCAAATGCTCTTTCATCATAGCCAAGGTTTTAAAAAACAGTCCCCAAGTGTGATTTCAGCAGGAAGATCAGGGTTTTTAAGGTGTCTGTAACGGTAATTGTGGCTGCATTAGTCTCATTTGTCCATAAAATCCCGCAATATCAAGGGTCGCGATCAACAACGCTAAACGTTTGAACCAGTTTCCCCGTCTTTCGTGAATAAGAAGCATAAATAAGCAAACCACCGCTCATGAACACCAAAAATAAGAAACAAAAAGCGAGAAAAAGAGAGAAAGGGAACCTTGAAGCGAGGCGTTTGAAGAAAAAGCTGAATAAAACAAAATTAAAATTTAAAAATAAAATAAATTTGCATGTACAGAATGACCATAAAATATCAATTGCTGAATACAGGTGTAATGTCTGAAGAAGAAACTGAGAAAGTATCAATTAATTTACAAATTTCGCTCTAAATGTGAAAGTAACGATCGTTCGTAGTATTAAAAAATAAAACATATTAACCTGAACACGACTAACAAAAGGGAGGGCTTCGTTGATTGCGCGGCGACTGGTAGTTTACGGCGGCGAAGTAGCTGCGTCTTCTGCCTCGCGGCAGCGCTGGGTCTTCTTCCCGGGTTGCGTTGAACAACCGCGGCGGTGTCACTGCGTATTCTCCCCGGTGACTGGATCTGCAGCCACGACGGCGGTGAAGACGGAGGATCTTCTTCTTCAAGGTGGCGACGACGACGAGTCTTCTTCTTGACGGCGGCGTTGTTAGGCTTGGCGCACGAGAGAGAGAGAGAACTTATGTGTTTTATTTAGAAGTGTGTTTTTACGAAAATGATATTATTTTATTTTAATAATACAAAATTTTAATAATTTAGTTGTCATATCACAGTGAAAATCCACATATTATTTTATTTCAATAATAAAAAAATAATAAATTTGAAAAGATTTAACATTGATAAATACATTAATTTTATAAAATATGAAAACAACCAAGAAATAACATGATTAATTTTTTTATTTTTAATTCTTCAATTATGAATAAATTATTTTTGAAAGAAATTATCTTATTCTTAGTTTTTTCACGTTACTAATTTTCAGTTTTTTCGTTTTTTTGGGATAATCTTTTTAATTCTTTACTTTGCTCTCACACACGCTTCACTATACTCTTTCTTACTTTGTGTGTTTGCTCTCACCCAAATGCTTCATGATAAGTTTGTTTCCCATCTCTTCAATTTAGGTTTAGTTTTTTATTCGTTAGTTTATCTCATTAGTTATTTTGTTATTTAATTTCATTGATTTCATAGGGTTTTAATTTGTCATTTTATTTTTGTTTCAAATTAAATTTTCACCCAAGAAGAAAAGATGTATTTAGGTAGTGTTGCTAGTGTTTATTATTTGACTTGTTATATAGAACACCTCTTTTGAGCTCCCCTTAATTTATATAATATTGTATGTCTTATTTGTTACCAATTAAGTTCATAATAGTGATTATAAATATAAATTAGGATGTATAAAAATTGTATATATTAATTTAATTTAAATAATATATGATCACTAATTTGTGATTACATTATTACTTGGTGTAATGTTTTTTAAGGTACTAATATTATATGTCAATTTCACACGGTGTAATTTATTTTTATTATTTCTAAAATAGGTAAATTTAAAAAAAAATTCAATTATAAATAAGTCCTGTATCTACATACGACTTCGTACAGAAAAAGTAGTGCTCTAAAATATTTCTTTATCTTCTTTAAATAAAAATCATAAATACATATATAATTTCTTTATATTTTTTTAAGTCTGTAATTAAATACACGATTTTAGGATTTTTTTACTGAAGTTGTCTTTCATGTTAATATTAATTTTTTTTAATATTAAAATTGTTAATTGATGGATGACTTTAGTTTATATATTTTAAATTAGATTTTTATTTGTATTTAGTAAAAGTTTGATTTTAATATTTATTAAAATAAAAATTAATATTAAATATATTTTAAATGTATTAAATTGTTGAAAATAAAATATTAATATGTTAAGAAAAAAACTACACATTAAAAAAAAGTACAACATATATTAAAAACTTAAACAAGTAGAAAAATATAATAAAATAAATTAATAACATAAACTTGTTTCATGTCTTTTAATATTGTGTATTGATCTTTGTCTTTGGATGGACACTTGTTCAGGTGATGATATGTCTCTTTAATGTTGTTCATTATTATTATTATTATTATATTCATCATTTATGATGATTGTGTAAGTAAAATGATAATAATCCATAGTAGACATGTTATTATGTCTTGATGGTGGTGTCATTAAAGTAATGACAAACATATTTAACGAAGATGAAAACATATTATATGGGTAAGAGACTTGTCCAAGCTAAAATTGACCTGATATATTTTGGAGTTGACTCATATATCTATAAAGTGGAGGTGATTGAAAAACAAATAAACCAACGTGTGGATATGTGGCTTGTGACGTGAATTGTTAAAAAATTTGTTGATCGTATTGTTGTGTTTGATATTCTTGTGGTGCATCATACTGAAAAAAAAAACAAAATATATATAAAATTAGTATTAATAAAAATATTATAATATATTATACTTACACTATCAAGAAGGATTTGGAAGGTATTGTTCAACCAATAAAGTTTTACAGAATTTTCTTTTATAATATCAACAAGTGGATACATATCTAATAAAGATTCACATAACAGTGTTAAATTACCACTAGTGACACCAGTTACATAATCTTCATCAATTGGAAGTCCTAAGTGTAAAGCCACATCTTCTAATGTGACAATAACTTCTCCAATTGGAAAGTGGAAAATATGGGTTTCTATTATCCACCTCTCCACTAGTGTTGTGATCAACTGGTGATTCACATCAACATTGGCAATTGTTAACAGTTGGTCAAATTCAACCTCTGCAATACATTTTTTAACCCGTGGATCTAGCATATGGGAATATTTAGTAACTAAGATTGCATGTCATCTAAATCGGAGAATTTGTTCATTTCCTTCCCATAGAGCTTGCATGACATGTTTATCTTGAAAGCGTAATAAAGACATATTTGGTGGAAGACGGTTATTGCCTATCATTTTCAGAAGCAAAGAAAGGCTCACAGAATGAAGATTGACGAGGCAAAAAACAACAATCTTCCTAAGTGGTTACAAGTTGCCCAACAAAGTATTCTTGGTACAATTATTCAATATGTAGCTAGCTCGTCCAAGATTAATCATACCATATATTGGAGCGTATTTTTTGATCTTTCAAACCATGCATTGAAGGTTCCAACTATTGCAAACTGATTGTTCAAGTTGACAGTACATTCCTAACAAGTAAATATCGTGCTACTTTGTTGACAACAACTTCACAAGACAAGAATCCAAACATATTTTCTCTAGCTTTTGCAATAGTTGAAAGAGAGACAAAAGAGACTCTAATATGGTTTTTCCAATTTTTGAGACAATATGTCACACCTAAACCGAATTTATGTTTGATAACAGATAGAGGAACAACAATATTGTCGATCTTACAATTTGAAAATATTCACTAAGATACAAATGATCTTCAATCAGTATCTTGCATTCGACATCTTGCCTCTAAATTCAATAAGAAATTCAAGAATGCGAAACTAAAACAAGTTATTAACATGCATAATATACTCTACTATTATTACTACATATTATCACTTTTAATTCTATTTAGTAGACATATTTACTAACTCGTATAAATTCTTATTATTGCATAACATGTGAGATGAAACAACCTAAACTAATAATTAAATTGAATGCTATGAGGTCTAAGTTTCGTCAAACAATTTCTTGGTTAGATGAAATTCCTTTAGAAAAGTGGACTCAAACATATGATGAGAGGAAAATGTATGACCACATGGCAACAAATCTTATTAAGTCCATCAACTCAATTTTGAAGGGAACATGTGTTTTACCCATATGTGCTATCTTGAAATCCACATTTGAAAGAACTAAATCGTAGTTTGTTGAACGAGACACCAAAACAAAGTGCATGTTATGAGAAAGACATCATTATCTAGAAAAGGTTGCTAAATTGCTAAGAGAAGATGAATGACGTGTAGGAAAGTGTATTGTTCAAAACTATAGTCGAGAAAATTCTGAATTTGATGTCCATGAGGTATCAAATTCCTAACATCTTGAACGTCCCGTAAACTATACAATCAAATAAAATGACTGGTGGTGTGATTGTAAAGAGTTTTAATATCTTCGACTTCCTTTTCTCTCATGTCATTGTAGTATGTTCATATTGTCACTTACACATTGACACATATATTGATCCGGTGTACAAGCTACAAATTATTTATAAGGCTTATGAAGGGTAGTTTCATCCAGTTCAAAAAGAAGATTATTGATCTTCTTACTTAGGTCCAAAATTTATTCATAATCCAAGTTTACATTGACAACAATCAAGGAGACCACCAACAAATCACATTAACAATTAGATGAAGGAACCTGTTCTAAAAAAGACAAAAAACATTCATTTTATCATAATGAAAATGTAAAATTTGACAATGAAAATGTAAAATTTCATTTTCTTATATAATAAAATATGCATATTTTTCTTGTTAACAAATTCATATATTTTTTTAACCATTTAATATATTTAAAAATTATTTAATATTATAAATGTCTAAATAATAATTATTAAATAAAACTTTAAAAATGAAAATTTAAGTTAAAAATATTTAAACTAAAATGTCAATCGAAATTTTCAATATAAAAAAATAAATTAAATTCATTTATAACTTGAGTTTAAAAATTGTATAGTTTATATCCATATAATAAAAAATAATAATTTTAAATATAATTAATTAGATGTAAACCCATAATTCTAAATAAAATTATTTACATATTAATTTGATTAAAATATGAAAAATGTTCATATGATATGTAGTATTTAATATGGAATTAATAACAAAACACATTTTTCACAAAAAAAAAAAAAAAATTAAAAAAAGTTCTACCTCAAACGTTATATAATGGTAATATCTATGTTTCTAGTTGGGAAGATCACTTTTCCGTTGATGATTTTCATTAACTTGCATAAATTAAGACCACTTGTTTATCGATGATTTTCATGATAAATTATTCATTTACACCCATATTCTTCTTGTTTGCATTTGTTATTGAAAAATATAATTATATCACAACCAATGTAACAATATTATTAATAATATGAACAACACTAATAATATAAATTTAATGTCTACTTTTTCATTAAATTTTATAACATCATCCCAAAACTTCATATATTATAAAACTAGCAATATAAGTATTATATACATTATATACAACATTTAAAAAAATAATATGATGTATATATATATATATATATATATATATATATATATATATATAAAGTAAATATTAAAATGTTTTACTTTAAATTTATAAAGAATTTTTTTTAAAAATTTTATTAAAAAAATATATTATGTTAGATTTAAAAAAAAAACTGTTAATTTAACTAAACATGTTAATATCTATTTGTAAAAAAAATTGCACATATTAATTTTTTTCATTTGATAGTTAAAATGTTGTTTAATATAATATGTTTAATAACTCTATTCATTTTTTATATCAATAAACATTAAATTTATAATATTATTAAAGGTTTTTATATTTGTAATAATATTAGTATGATTCATTATGACATAATTACATCCACTTAAACAATTTTAAATGTGTGGGGGAATAGATAATTTTTCCTCAAAATTATCAACAACACGTAATCTTGGTTGATTGATGAATTAGATCCTCACCTAATTCTTTATTTTTTTTAAAAACATGTATTCTGTCATTAGTTTCATAATAAATATTACGGTAATAACATAGAGATTTTTTTATATTTGTAATCAAATTAATACGTAGACAATCTTATCAATATTAATGTGTTTACATTTAATTAATTATCTTTCAAATGATTTTTTTATTATTATATGGATGTGGATGGTATAATACATGAAAATAAAATTTATTATTAAAAATTCTCTACTATAATTATTAATATGATGACATTATAAATTCTATACTATTATTATTGACATTTGTAATTCTAGAATAATTGTCGTTGCTAAGGTATAAATAATGGTCCAATATTTATTCTTCACATATCATAACCTTAGTATGTAACCACATGAATAATTATGTATTATCCAAACCATGTATGAATTGTTTGACACGCTCTAATTCATCTTCACCATCACATTATAAACTTAATTTGTAAATAAATATATTTTTTTAAATGTTTTACTTATTATTAAAAATTATTTTACAAATAAAATAATGTCGCGTGAGAGTATAATTAAACTATCCATACAAATTAAAATGAATAACCAATTAAGGTTATATTAATTATTATTTATTCAAATGATTTTAATGAAACAATAAAGATAAAATATAAAACATAAAAGTATTACATAACAATGCATGAGTATGAAGAGTAAGTATGTAATATTAAAATCATATCTAATTTTTTTTATTTACCTAAATTGATCTTTAAAATTACTATTACGAACTTTGTTATAAAAAAATAATAATTTTCAATGTTTTAATTATTATTAAAATTTATTTAACGAAAAAAATAATGTCACACGAGAATAATTAAACTCTTAACTAAATTTTTAATATAAATTAAAGTAACTTACCTATCGTATCTGATAATGGCTAATTATGGTTGAGTAAAATGTTATCAATATCAAAAAGAAGAAGACAACTCATATGTTACCACCAGTTTCAGATTAACTCATCCCAGGCCTTTGTGGATAAACTCATCATTTGCGGCTCTATACCTAATTACATCTGTTCATCACAGATACAACGAAATTTCAATCTGAACAACAAAATAATAAATGAAATGACGAACCCTAGATCCATGGAATCGAATGACAACTAACAAATCACGAACTAAACCTAAATCAAAGAGAAGAGAAACAAACCTGTTCTGAACCACCTGAGTGAGAGTGAGTGCGCGGAGTAAGAGCAAGCACAGTGAGAGCCAGAGAGAGTGAGCATAATGAAAGAGGTAGAAAGATCGCCTAGGTGAGCGAGGGAGACAAGAGAGGATGAGCAAAGTGAGAGAAATGAGAGTGAATAGTGAGAGAGAGAGAGAGAGAGAGAGAGAGAGAGAGAGGAAGAGTGAGCCTGAGAGAACGAGAGAGAGAAGAGGGAGAACTGAGTATATAAATTTAATATTACTCTATTCATAGGATTGTTTATGTAGGTTCGGTTGTTTGTATTTCACTACTCTTTTGCTCATCAGCTTAGTTTATATTTGGGAGCTTGTCTATGGAAAGAAAACCCAAAACCATTTAGATATCATTAAAATAATAGTAGTTTGATTTTCTGGTTGTGAATAATGAAAACTTTTTTGTGAGAAGTTAAACTCACTTCTCTAATCTGTTCATCTTGAAAAACTAGTCTCACCAGTTACAATGGTGAGAATATTTTGCTTTAAAAAAAAAACAGCAAAACCAGATCACAAAAAGGCATTTCTCTCTTCCATACAACTGAGCTTCATTGCCATTTGCACTTAGCAAAGTACTTCAATTACAAGTAGTTCATCTCCCTACTCATAACTTAAGTTCTACTGTGTCAGATTATACTATAGTTGTACTACGAGTTTAATTGTCTCCTCTTTTGACTTCAAAACTAGCCCTTTTGTTAAAATTTGTCACCTTTCTGTATTATTATCAGAGACAGATAGATTCTCAAACTGGGATGCAAACTACCTAGCTTCATCAATATTCAATCATCATCAGTATAATATTCCACCTGCTTTTCCCATTTTGAGTTCTTAAGAAGTGGAATAGAATCATAGAAACCAACATTATTCTCTCCATTGGTGAATGGATTGCTGCATGTGAGCAATATTTTCAGGACTTCCTTCATGGAAGGTCTACTAGCAGGCAGTGTTGCAGTGCACATGACCCCAAGTTTGAATATGTTGCAGATTTCATCCATGTAACAAGCTTCCTTAATTTCTTTATCCAAAATATCTTCTACATCTGTCCCTACCTGAATGTGGCGCCACGCCCATTCGGCCAGAGATGAGTATTCATCCCCATGATTAGCTTCTTTTCCAGTTGTCAGTTCCAATAGGACAACTCCAAAGCTATACACATCTATCTTCTCATTGACTCTTGTTGTTTGAGCATATTCTGCAAATCATACATGAAACAAAAATTTAGACTAGGCTTATGACAGAAAAATGAATAGAAAATTTAACTGAAGCAATAGCAATACATTTGTTACTTGTTTTTTACCTGGAGCAATATAGCCAAATGTGCCAGCCACAGCTGACATTGTAGCAAGTTCTTCTGGCTTCATCAACATCTTGGCCAGACCAAAATCAGCAACTTTTGCATTGAATTTAGAATCCAACAGAATGTTACTTGTTTTCACATCGCGATGAACGACAGGTGGTAAGCAGTCATGATGCATGTAGCACAAACCTTGTGCTGCTCCAATGGCTATATGCAATCTCTTTGGCCAATCAAGGACTAAACCTGGCACAGCTGCTTGCTTACTTTTGTTGTGCAGCCACCTATCAAGGCTATGGTTTTCAAGATACTCATAGACAAGTAGAAGAGAATCCTCATTCGAGATGCAGCATAGCAACTTCACAATGTTGTTATGACGAATATTGCTCAGTATTTCAACTTCTGCAAGAAATGAACTTACAAGTTTCTCCTCTAACTTTCTCCTACTCCATATCTTTTTCACTGCAACAAAGTTTGAATCATCAATACCGACACGATATACTGCACCGTACCCACCACAGCCAATAATATTGTGTTCTGACATTGAGGACACGATATTTGCTTTTGTGAAACTAAGCCTTTGAAAGGAAGTGAGCTTCCATGACCTTTTCAATTCTTGCTTTCTTTTCCTGTAAACTCTGATCATCAAAAATGATGACAACAAAGCCAGTAAGGATGCTGCTACCACCAGGCTTATGATTATAGCATGAGATGCAGATCTTCTATCGATGCTTGTCCTTTGAGGCCTAGAATCGCACAAGATAAGGTTTAGTACTGCAGTATCAGTACAGAGACCCGGATTGTTCAAAAAGCTGCTAGCGTACGCAAGATTTTCAAATTCACTTGGAATCCTTCCTGCCAAATTATTGGAGGACAGATTGAGATTTGTGAGTCTCATATGAGCTAGTTGAAGTGGAATTTGGCCTGATATTCTGTTTTCTGACAAATCCAAAATAATAAGGGTAGACGACTTAGCAATTGCAGGTGGGATTTCTCCAGAGAGTTGATTGTGTCTTAAATCTAGAGTTATTAGGGACTTCCATGATATTATATCTGATGGAAGTGGTCCTGTGAGCTGGTTATGATCAAGCAGAAGCGTTGTTAGGTGAGGAAGAGATGTTAGCTCCTGTGGAATACTGCCATTGAAGAGGTTGTTACTGGCATTGAACACAACAATATTCTTCCAGGAAGACACTCCAAGTGGAATTCTACCCGAAAACTGATTGTAACTAATGGCCAAGACTGAAAGATTCCCAGGCAATCTTTCGGGAAGCTGACCAGTGAACTTGTTTTCATTTATCATAAATGTTGACAAATGCAAAGATGTCCATAGACCACTAGGAATGTTGCCAGAAAGCTCATTGTTTTCAACCCTCAGATATTGTAGGCTACTGCAAGTTGCTAAAGATTCTGGCAACTCCCCACTAAGGTTATTGTCGTAAGCAGTTAAACCAACTAACCTTCCATAGAAGCACAAGTTCTCTGGCAACCTTCCTGTGAAACTGTTGGATGCAACCTGAAACGTTTCAAGGTTTGAGATCCGACCGAAATCTGGTGGAAGAGTACCTGAAAAATTGTTGAGAAAAACAACAAAATCAGTCAGGGCTGGCAGACGACCAATGCTTTCTGGTACCGTCCCTGACAATTGGTTCATATACAAACTCAAGTATGTTAACTTGTTGAGCTTTCCCAAATCATCTGGTATTTTCCCACTAAGATTATTTTCTGAAAGATCAAGTTCTGTCAAGTTGAATGCTTCAACCACTCCAGGTATATCCCCAGAAAGGCTGTTCCGGTAAAGATACAGTATGCTCAGATTTTGCAGCAGGAACAAACCATCGGGAATTTGTCCACTTAAACCATTTTTTGATAAATCCAATTCCTCCAATGCCACCATGCGTCCAATGGTTTGGGGGATTTCCCCTACCAAGTTGGATTCATACATATAGAAGGACTTCAATTTGTTCAACTGGGTCAAGCTTAATGGCAACTTTGTCGGAGGGAACATGTGGTTTGAGAACACGTGCAACAACTCCAGATTCGACAAATTGCCAATTTCAGCAGGGAAAGTACCATTGAAAAGACACTGATGAAGTTTAAGACTTCTTAGCTCCTTCAACCTTCCAACGCTGGCTGGAATATCACCAGAGAAGTTGTTTCCACCAAGGCTGAGAAAGCGCAGGCTAGCCAAGTGATCAATGTCATCAGGAATCTTACCAACAAAGACGTTCTGTGAGAGGTCAAGGTACTCAAGCTTGGAGCAATTGTAAAGAGATGTTGGGAACTCCCCAGGAATGAAATTCCACTGAAAATCTAGACGTGTGAGATTTTTGAGGTCACATAGGAAAGGTGGCAGTGTTTGAGTGATGTTGGTGTTCAACAGAGTCAGTGAAGTGACTGAGCCATTAGTGCATCTGATCTCTGGCCAAGTGCAATGTGAAGAGTTTGATGGGATCCAGTGACGGAGGAATGATGGATTTTGCAGGTATTGCTTTATCTTCAGTAGGACTGCATGCTCTTCATCATACAGCAAAGAGTGAGACTCAGAGTTTGCAAAGGTCAGAAAGAGGAAGAAGGAGAGAAGAGGAAGAATTGGCATTTTGGCAAATGATGCGGTAAATTTTTTCATCTTGTTGTATTGTTTCTAGATCTCTCATGGTGCCATTCAATAATGAAGTGATAATGTCTGAGAATCAATTACTTTTCTATTTGGCAACAACCACACACAAACACACACTGAGTATGACTGAAAAGTTGAACAACATTGACTTCATCGCTTGCTTTCAAAATTGGCATGCAAAATTACCTATTCTGCATAATGCAAATTTTATGTGGGCCAGCTGAGCACACGGATTGAAACACCTTTCGTTGGATATTGCAAAAAAAGCATCACTATGTGCCAAAGAAATTAGTAAAGGTAACTTTTATTTTTAGTATTATTATAGAGTAATGATAATAAGGTCCTATATTAAAACTATGATGCTGTTCTTTTTTTCTTTTCTTTTTTTACCAATATAGTCTGACATGATGAACAAATAACATTCTCTGTTAAATATGCAGTTAAATTTTCGACCTCAAATCTTTGTGAAGCAAAAAAAAATAAAATTGGTATGTTACCACAGGTTAATCCCTTAAATGAATTTCAAAACATTGAACAATTGGTATAAAAAAATATCAAGAGTCACCCAAGAATAGTAATATTATGGGGAGGTAAAACATATTAAAGTAGTTATTATGTAACCAAAATTATATCTCCTTGCCTTCACGTTATGGTTTCCAACTTGGAGATGTTTTCTTTACTCTGAATCTGCGGGTTTGAAGGCTTTTAGTTGAAGTCCCTACGCTTCTTGGTTTGATCCTCTATTTTACTATAATTAAGGGGCCACTTATTCAATTATTTAGAATACTTTGCATCCATCACCACAAAACTTTGACCTCGATTCACGTGTGAATGTGAACACAGACCAAGAGACAGCCACAGTTCTGCAAACAAACAAGCCAACGCTGCAGTATATGATAGTATTTTCGAACCTTGTGACATCAACTTGCTATTTTTTTTCTCTTTCTTTACCTTTTCATTAGCTCCACAAATACTTTATACTTTGAATAGTCAATGGAAAGATATATGACCTTAGATATGTGAACATTGAAGTATGCAACACCTTCTAGTAAGAGCATCCTGCTTTTGACTATTCCTGTGATGCTTTTTTCTTTAGCATATTATTTTGACAATTCTTTTGATTTGATATTATAAATAACATATACTGAGGTATATAATAAATTTGTTTATTTTTATAATAATTATTTTAAAAATCATATCTTAAATGATTTTTAATTAATTAAGAGCATACAAATCTTTAATATTTAAACTACACATGAAATTTCATGTTTTTTTTAAATCAAAAGAAGACAAGTTGGTGCAGAGGAAAGTTATAGATGATACCAACCAGGTTGGCATCCCCTTATAGCACGCTGCAGTTGACAACAAGTCAAGAAATATCATCAAACACACAAAAAAATTGGAAGAATTATTTGAGTATCAAGTACTAATAAATTATCTATTTTTTTTTACATAAACTCTGAGAAAAACATGAAATATGATACAAAATTTTTGTTGGGAGAGATTGTGATCCCAAAAAAGTATTGAGAACTACAAGCTATGTGCATTTACAAGTTACAAAAGTACCTAATCACCATTAATCTCACGTACCAACAAGAAGTACTTCCATTTTGTGTCAGTTTTCATGCATTCTATAGTATTGATATTCAAAATCTTCAATTCTGTGGCCGTGTTTCACTGACTTCAATTCTAGAATTGGTAATAATCTCCGTGGAAGTTCAGTTGGTTACTTACACTCACACTACTATGCTCCAACCTCAACTAGCTAGCTATCATTATCAATATCCAACTTGTGCTCTCTTTTTGAATTTTTAAGAAGGGGAACATCATCAAAGTTGCCAATATTACTCTCTCCCTTAGAAAATGATTCATCACAAGTAAGCAATACTTGAAGAACCTCTTTCATGGAAGGCCTACTAGAAGGAAGTGTTGCAGTGCACATGACTCCTAGTTTGAAAACCTTACACATTCCATCAGAGTAACTAGATTCCATGACTTCTTTGTCTAAGAGATCTTCTATGTTGCTTCCTAACTGTTGGTGGCGCCACGCCCATTCTGCAAGAGATGAATGCTCATCACCATAATTAGCTTCTTTACCAGTTGTCAGTTCCAACAGGATGACCCCAAAGCTGAAGACATCAATCTTTTCACTGACTCGAGTTGTTTGAATATACTCTGCAATTCAAGTATGTCAAAAACCCTTCATATTAAACTTACGAGATTAGGGTTTAGGGTTTAAGCAATATATCTATGGACAAAACTTAGATATAATATTAAGATATAATTGTTGTTTATTCTCCAATCGAAATTAGTATTTCATCTTGGTTACTTAAGTTGGCAATGATTACTGATAAAATGTCGATTTTGATTAGAGAATTGCACAAATAGTACTTATGTTAGTGTATCGAAGTGTTGTCCTATATGTTTATTTTGAAGGAAACAAAATTTTGGCATGTTCTTTACCTGGAGCCATATAGCCAAATGATCCAATCACAGCTGACATGGTGGCAAGTTCCCCTGGATTCATCAACATCCTGGCCAGACCAAAATCAGCAACTTTTGCATTGAATTGAGCATCCAAAAGAATGTTGCTTGTTTTCACATCTCGATGAACAATAGGTGGTGAACAATCATTATGCATGTAGCTCAAACCTTGTGCAGTTCCAATAGCTATATGCAATCTCTTTGGCCAATCAAGGACAACATGATGTACTGAACCTGTAACAGCTGATGACGACTTATTCTTCCGGTGCAACCACCTGTCAAGGCTGCGGTTTTCCACATACTCATAGACAAGGAGCATAGAGTCCTCATTAGATATACAACACATCAACTTCACAATGTTTCTGTGACGAATGCTGCTCAATATTTTAACTTCGGTGTGAAATGAGCTTTCAAGCTTCTTGTCTAGCTTCTTGTTTTCCCAAATCTTCTTGACAGCAACATAGTCTAAACCATCAATTGCAACGCGGTATACTGCACCATATCCACCACTGCCAATAATATTATTTTCTGTCAGTGACGACACTATGTTTGATTCAGTGAAACTCAGTCTTTGGAACGAAGTGAGCTTCCATGACCTATCCAATCCACGCTTTCTTTTTCTGTAAAATCTGATGATCAAGAGTGATGCCAACAAAACCAGGAAACACGCCACTACCGCCAGACTTATGATCAAAGCAACAGACCAAGATGAGTCCTTTCTTTGGTTTTGAGGGCTATAATTACACAACGTGAGATTCAGTGCTGGGGTATCAGAACAGAGGCCAGAATTGTCCAAAAAGCTGGTGTCATAAGCAGAATTTTCAATTTCACTTGGAACCCTCCCTGTCAAATAATTGGATGATAGATTGAGATAGGTGAGTCTGGGATCAATATAAGGAATTTGACCAGAGAACTGATTTTCGGACAGGTCAAGTTGGCTGAGAGCAGGTAAATGACCAATTGAATCCGGAATATGTCCAGAGAGTTGGTTTTGGCTCAAATTTAGAGTTACTAAGGACTGCCATGATATTATATCTGATGGAAGTGGTCCTGTGAGCTGGTTCTGATCAAGCAATAGAATTGTTAGCTTGGGAAGAGCTGTTAACCCTTCTGGAATACTCCCATTAAGGTAGTTCTTACTGGCCATAAACACAACCACATTTGTCCATAAAGACACTCCAGTTGGAATCCTACCATAAAACTGATTGTAATCTATCTCCAAGCGCGAAATACTTGGGGACAATCTCTCAGGAAGCTCACCAGTGAACTTATTATTACTCACCATGAAATTTGACAAGTTGAACGTCCAAAGACCACTAGGAATGCTACCAGAAAACTCATTACTATAAATTTTTAGATCTATCAGGCTACTACAATTACCAAGTGATTGTGGCAACTCCCCACTAAGATAATTTTCATAGACAGATATGTTTTGCAAGTGAACATTGTAGCATATGTTCTCGGGTAGCTTTCCACTAAAACTATTTGTTGAAATCAAAAAGGTTCTAAGCATGGAGTGGCGGCCAAAGTCAGGAGGAAGAGTACCTGATAAATTGTTGTTAAATACTTTAAAATCTACCAGAGATGGAAGAAAGCCTATGCTTCGTGGTATCTCCCCTTGCAATTTATTCATAGACAAAGCCAAACCCGTTAACTTTTGGAGCTTTCCAAAACCATCTGGTATTTTTCCTGAGATAGAATTTTGTGTAAGGTCAATGATGGTCAAATTCAATGCTTCAACCACATCTGGTATTACCCCGGAAAGATTGTTTCTAGAAAGAAATATTATGTTCAAACTCTTCAGCATGAACAAACCGCTTGGAATTCGTCCACTTAAATCGTTTACTGATAGATCCAATCTCTCCAAAGCCACCATGTTTCCAATGGTTTCAGGGATCTCCCCGACCAAGTTGGACCCAAACATAAAAAAAAACTTCAACTTGTTCAACCGTGTCCAGTTATCATGCAAACTCGAAGGAGGGAACATGGGGTTAACTGACAAATCCAAGATTTCAAGATTGGACAAGTTGCCAATCTCAGCAGGGATGGTTCCATTGAATAGGCAGTTTTGAAGTTGAAGATCTCTGAGTTCCTTTAGACTTCCAATACTAGAAGGAATGTCGCCAGAGAAATTGGTGTAACCAAGGTTAAGATACTGCAAATTAGAGAAGTTGTCAATGTCGCGAGGGATGCTACCAACAAAGTTGTTCATAGACAGGTCTAGGTACTCCATCTTAGAGCAATTGACGAGATATGTTGGGAACTCCCCAGGAATCAAATTGTTGTAGAAATCAACATGTGTGAGGTTTTTGAGGTCACAAATGAAAGAGGGTATGGTTTGAGCGATGCTATTGTTCGACAAAGTCAATCCAGTGACTGAATCATCAGTGCATGTTATCTCTGGCCAAGAGCAATGGGAGAAGTTTGATGAGGTCCAGTGACTGAGGAATGAAGGATTTTCAAGGTACTTCTTTATCCTCAGTAAGACTGCATGTTCTTGATCATGCAACTGAGATTGAGACTGAGAGTTTGCATGAGTAACAACCAGGAGTAAGATCACAAGAGAGTGAAACAGCAATTTAAGATATGAGGAGGATGAGGTGAATAGTTCCATCTTGGTCATTGAGTTTTTCAAATTTGAAGTGTGTGAGAGAGTTGAAAAGAAAAGATGATTTGATGATATGTGATCTGAAATGCAATGTTTGGTTTTTACAAACTGAAAAGTTGAGAATTGTTGGGTCGCTTAGAAACTTTATCATTCAATTTTGGTGGGTCAGAAGTCAAAGCCATCCATTATATTGGTAGAAAATAAATAAACATGGAACTGCGAAGAGTACAACTACTACAAAGAAATTAAAACTTCTGTGTTTGAACACTTCGGTCAAGTGACGCAACAACAGCAGTTGCTGACCACCTTGTAAACATCGAGCAAACACATCTTCCATTTTCTCATAATGTCTATCTTTTTGCATTAGTAAGACTAAGTTAATTTTTCTTTAGGTGAAGCTATATATTAAAAATCTATGTCCATTTAAAAATTAGATAAACTATAAAGCTTCCACATAATATAATTATATAAAAATTCCATTCTAGAATTCTGCATTATTGATCACACGCATGCTAGCTGTACTCTGATGCTTCTGGGTCATAACTTGTCCTTGTAGGATTCTTGTGTGGGTTTTTCTTGGACCATCTTTGGTATAAAAAAAGAAACAAAAGAAAAGTCTTCTTCAAATAACATTTTATTAAAGAAAGATCCATCACAGAAATCTCATATCTGCATGAAATAATATCTATTAGAAGATATTAGCAGTAATTTTTTTTTGTATCAGATTAGATTCTGATTCTCAATTAGCAGATACATTGAATTAAGAAAATCACCATAATTAATTAAGGCAGATATATTTGATAAAACGTTTTTTTTTTTCTAGATTTGCCAATGGCCTTTGACTTGATAATATAATTTTAAAATCAGTCTGTCCTTAAAGAATTGAGGTGTGAGACTTTCAAATTTTCTATTATACTAGCATATGGTATTAAAATTAAAAACATGTTTTTTTTTTGTCGAATATGTTTATTTTCATACTAAAATTTAAACTCTTATTATTTATTTAGAATTTAAAAAATAAAATAAATATCTTAAAGCCTATGGATAAAAAGTGTTTAATTATTTTTCATGACACAAAAAGATTAATCATTTCATAATTCCAATTAACATATTATTTTTATTCAGCACCCACCATAAATTACCAAAGTCTTTGACTTTCCACCCATTTCTAATTTTCTACACAATGAATTAGAATAGTGGATAATAAATGGGTTGATTGAAAAATAAACAAATAATTGGTCAAGCATAAAACTAAATAAACTAACAAGAACTTTCAACTTAGAATTTTCTCTCATTCATGCATCTAAATTTATATAAATCTTGTAAATAAAGGTGAAGGAAGCTACCACCAAATTAATGGAAGACTTGATGAATGTGAGAATCTTCACTAGAAACCCTACAAACACTTGATGAATGTGAAATTACATTGCCTTTGTTTTCTACTTTGTATACTTTTTTTTTTCCAACAAAACTTTTGCTTTCTAGCTTTCTACTTTGATTTAGGAGGAAAGTTCGATTCTATATCATGAGAAAATGAAGGGGAAACAAATGTGAAAACCCTAAATCAACTTCATCCATGGACCAAAAACTCAAGTCTCAATCTGAAAATGATTGTTGCCTTCTTGGTAAGGGAACTGTGGAAGGAGGGAAAATGCCAAAACTTTAATAGTGCCTGTACCATACAATTAAAGCATTCAAATTATCCTCTCATCAAAATTATGAAAATGTTGATTGATTTAATTTTTAATGTTTTAGATATTTATTCCATCTCATTAAAATAGTCTTTTGACTTCAAAGTTGAAATTATATTTTAAAGATAATTTATAAAGATTTTTCTTTTAATCCATCCAAACTATTCTATGGTGCATTTAATTATTTTTCCTTGGAACATAATTTTTCGTTTATATTTCTTCTTAGTGTTTATATCATTTTTCTTATTTCAAACGACTGAATCAAATTTTTTATATGTAACCAAAAAAACTTACCAAAATTTTTAATAGACTCAACAATGTAGTTCACTTATATATATATATACACGATAATTGTTAAATAATAAATACATGTATTACATTTTAGTTAAATAAAAAATTTATTTTATATTCTGTTCAAGAATAAGAGTATTCGGTTTTATTTTTCTATAATAAGGGATATGAATGGTCTGTTTTAATGTTCATATATAAATATGACAGAAGTAAAATAATATTTTTATTAAAATAAAATTTAATTATAGTAATTTTTCACATTCAACATTTTTTCGAAGGAAAAAAAATTGTTTTTAAACGGTCAAATTCTTTAAAAATATTGCAACGGTAAAATGGTTTGAATATTTTAAATGAAAAATAAAACTTCTAAAACAGTGGTTACAACTTATCTTTTATCTAAATGTCTTGTAATTTATTAAAATGAAAAATGAATTTTTAATTATGTTTGGAAGAATGAAATCATATTCTAAAAATTAAAAAAATTTGAGGGAAAAAAATTAAATTAATCTAAATTCAAAGAACATTATTTTTGTGAATTCTATTGTTCGTTATACACTTTGTTAAAATCTTCATTCCCATTAATTTATTTATACTATTACAATTTAAAAATAACAAACAAGTAAAAAAAAATCAAATAATGTAACTTTTTTTTATTTATCACAACAAAATAAAATTAAAAAATACCTAAAGTTTTGTAAATAGAAATTGGATAAATATTTGTGTATTTAAACATCCAACAATCATGCATGAATACACATCACAATTGCACAGGATAAAAATGACCTATATGGTCAAACCCTAAAAGAGGAGGAAAAAGGAATAAAATTGACTTACAACTTTTATTCTACTTTTAGTGGTCAAGTCTTCCATTATTTTTCCATTCAATGATTTTCTTGCAATTATTACAAATTTTAGGTTGTTTCAATCCTTCCATCATATTACACTCAATACTTTACTAAGTTAAAGAATAAGAGTGGGTATGGATTAGGTTGTGTTTGCACTAATGGATGTTAATTATAAATTTGAACCAATTAAAAATGGTTGGTTGATTTGATTTGATTTGTTTAATTATTTCGGTTCAATGGTTTGGGTCAAGTCATTAGGTTAAACATATAAAGAGATATATAATGAAAATTTGGAAAATAAAAAAATGGAAGAATAAAATTTTGTTTTACAAAATAGTAAAATAGATAGATTTTTTAATTCACTTATAAAAATAGTAAGATTTATAATAAAATAGGTAGTTTGATAATAAATAAAATTAGATTCATAATAAAAAAATATGTTTTTGTTACAAATAGAATGGTTTATAAATAAATAGTCTTGTGATTTGATAATTTTAGATTAATTATAGTATAAATATTGCAATATACCAGATATTGATGTAAAAGAAAATTGTAGCTTAATAAGAAGGTAAACAATAAGACAAATGGGTCTGTTGTTACATCATGAACTAAAATAAAACAAAAACACACAAACAATAAATAGCTAAAATACATGCTTAATTTATGAGAAACATGTCTGAACCAGAAAAATCCTAACAATCAGAGTAATTCAGATAACTTCAACTATTTTGTGTTATTTATTCAATAATACACCAAGATTAATTTACTCTAAAATGATACAAATGTCACTAGGAGCTAAGGTACAAGTTCTGGTGTAGAGACACAGAATGTAGAAACAGTATGAAAATTAAGGTGGGAAAAACACAACATCAGAGGAGAAAAAAAATACTGTCTACCCTATGGCTGCTGACACCAACATTACTCTGATCTACTGTTATACATAACAAAAAATTATTACAAGTTCATAATCTAAATAGGATCGAGCATATCTATTAAATTTTTTTTTTCAGTTAGTAAAAGTTAAACTAAAAAAAATAGTATTCCTAGTAAAATAGATGCTATCACGAGTATACGATGAAATTGTTTCATCTTAAAAAGAACATTGCGAATAATCTAGATAATTGTTGAATGTTTTCAAACAGAACATTATTCCCGTAACATTAATAAATATAATATTTAACTATATGATATATTTACAAATAAGATCACCAATTCGTCTAATAACAAATATAATACTCGTAAATGAACAATAAATCCTTCTCATTTATACGGTAACCATTTCATTTTCTATTCAATGTGAAATTCAAATCATTTTTAAGCTTATTCGATTTCCAACCACAACTATTTCATTCATTAATTGATATGAAGTTAAAATATGATTATGATATCTTCGAGAGGATTCATATCCACCACTTACAGCATATAATAATTTCTTCGTTGCAACTTAATAATGAAGGACTGAGTGGAGTTTGTCAAGTGGTTTTAAGTTTATCAGGAACAACACAATTTTTAATAACTCTATTAAAAAAAGGAGAAAAGACTATAGTACTTGTAACCATACCACTCTACCATGTTTGTATACTACTACATTCCACTTTCTTCCCTCTAGAGCCATGTTTGGTTTGTTCTATGTTTTGATGAGAACTATCATTGTTCATTAGTCACTAATCACTATCATTATCAACAGCATGATTCAACCTACTCTCCCATTTTGAATCCTTAAGAAGAGGAACACCATCACATTGCCTAAGATTCCCCTCTCCAAAAGCAAATCCTTCTCCTATGGTGAGCAACATGTTTAGCACGTCCTTCATGGAAGGCCTATTAGCAGGAAGTGTTGAAGTGCACAAGACCCCAAGTTTGAAAACACTGGACATTTCATTCGTGTAACTTGGATCCATGAAATCATTGTCTAGCAGCTCTTCTATTTTGCTTCCTACAATAATGTGGCGCCATGCCCACTCTGCAAGAGAAGAGTGCTCATCACCATAATTAGCTTCTTTACCAGTTGTAAGCTCCAGTAGGACAACCCCAAAGCTGAATACATCAATCTTCTCACTAACTCGCGTTGTTTGAACATATTCTGCAATGCAACACGTATTGCACATTCAGGTTAAACTTATTCCAACGTAAGAAAGAGAGAATTTTGGGACATGTTTACTTGTGTTTTCACTTTTAATATACAAAACTCTCACATTGTTTTCAGTCTGTATCCTATTTTTAAAGATTTGTACAGAAAATTAGTGAAAACAACTTTGAAAAATAGAAAATGAATTGAAAATAAGATGACAGTTTTGTAAATTAAAGGTGAAAGCAGAAGTAAATAAAATCCTTTATCTAAAGTATAGATTTGTGAGTAAGAAAAGAAAGGATTGATTGGCATGTCATTATTCACCTGGAGCCATATAGCCAAATGAACCAACAACAGATGACATGGTAGCAAGTTCCCCCGGTTTCATTAACATCCTAGCCAGACCAAAATCAGCAACTTTTGCATTGAATTGAGCATCCAAAAGGATGTTGCTTGTTTTTATATCTCGATGAACAATCGGTGGGGAGCAATCATGGTGCATGTAGCACAAACCATGAGCAACCGCAATGGCTATTTGCAATCTCTTTGGCCAATCAAGCACAAAATGATGGACTGAAACTGACACAGCTGATGACTTGCCCTTATTGTGCAGCCACCTATCTAGGCTACGGTTTTCCAAATACTCATAAACAAGGAGCATAGAATCCTCATTAAAGATGCAGCACAACAACTTCACAATGTTTTTATGACGAATGTTGCTCAATATTTTCACTTCTGCACGAAATGAACTCTCTAGCTTTCGGTCTAACTTTCTGTTACTGGAGATCTTTTTAACAGCAATATAGCCTAAACCATCGACCGGGACACGGTATACCGTGCCAAATCCACCACTTCCAATAACATTATGTTCTGTCATTGATGACACTATGTTTGATTCAGTGAAACTCAGCCTTTGAAAGGAAATGAGCTTCCATGAGTTATCCAATTCTTGTTTCCTTCTTCTGTGAAGTTTGACAATCAAGAGTGCTGTCAACAAAGCCAGTAAGAGTGCTATCAACAAAGCCAGTAAGAAGGCCACCGCCACCAGGCACAGAATCAAAGCAAGAGACCAAGATGAGCCTTTGGTTAGCCTTTTAAAGCCAACATTGCACAGCCGAAGGTTCAGTACTGGGGTATCAGCACAGAGGCCAGAATTATCCAAAAAGCTAGTGGAATACACTGAATTTTCAAACTCACTTGGAACCCTCCCTGTAAAATGATTAGAGGATAGGTTGAGATTGGTGAGTCTTGGAAGTATTGAAGGAATTTGGCCTGAGAATTGGTTTTCTGACAGGTCAAGCTGATTGAGGACAGGTAATCGACCAATTACAACTGGGATTTGTCCAGAAAGTTGGTTATGGCTCAAATTTAGATTCCCTAGGGACTTCCATGATATTATATCTGATGGAAGTGGTCCTGTGAGTTGGTTATGGTCAAGCAATAGAGTAGTTAGCATGGGAAGATTTGTTAACTCCTCTGGAATACTTCCATTGAGGTAGTTCTCACTGGCTTTAAACACTACCACATTAGTCCATGAAGATACCCCAGTTGGAATCCTACCAGAAAACTGATTGTTACTTATCTCCAAGCGTGAAATAGTTGGGGACAATCTCTCTGGCAGTTCACCAGTGAACTTATTATTGCTCACCATGAAACTTGACAAGTTGAAAGTCCAAAGCCCACTAGGAATGCTACCAGAAAACTCATTATTATAAATTTTTAAATCCGTCAAACTACTACAGTGGCCAAGTGATTCTGGCAACTTCCCAGTCAGATAATTATTAAAAGCAGATAAATTAAGTAACTGACCATGATAGCATAAGCTCTCTGGGAGCCTTCCACTGAAACTATTATTTGCAATCACAAATGTTTTAAGCTGTGAGTAGCGACCAAAATCAGGAGGAAAAATACCTGACAAGTTATTGTACATGACATGAAAATGTGTGAGAGATGCAAGGCGGCCTAAGCTTTGTGGAATCTCCCCTGACAAGTGATTGAGAGACAAACTCAACCATCTTAACTTTTGGAGCTTCCCAAAATCTTGAGGTATTTTCCCTGTGAGATGGTTCTGTGCAAGATCGAGGTCGGTCAAATTCAATGCTTCAACCACACCAGGTATCTCCCCAGAGAGACTGTTCTCGAAAAGATACAGTATACTCAAATTCCTGAGCATGAACAAACCTTTAGGAATGTGTCCACTTAAATTGCTTCGTGACAAATCCAAGTTCTCCAAAGCCACCATTTCTCCAATGGTTTCAGGGATTTCCCCGAAGAGGTTGGAACTGTACATGTGTAAGAACTTCAGTTTTTTCAACTGGGTCAGGCTTGATGGGAACTTGAAAGGAGGGAGCACTAAGTTAGAGGACATGTCCAAGAATTCAAGATCGACCAAGTTGGCAATACTCTCATAAGGAAAAGTGCCATTAAATAGACAAAAGTGAAGTTGAAGAAATCTCAGTTGCTTTAACCTTCCAATGCTTTCAGGAATGTCACCATTAAGGTTGGTGGAACCCAGGTTAAGATACTGCAAGTTAACCAAGTTGTCTATGTCATTAGGAATGCTACCAGTAAATTCATTCCCCTCAAGGTCGAGGGAGACCAGCTTGGAACATTTATAGAGAAACGTTGGAAACTCCCCTGGAATGGAATTCGTGCTGAAATTAACATGTGAGAGATTTTTGAGGTCACACATGAAATTTGGTAGAGTTTGCTTGATGTTGCTGTTGAACAGGGTCAATCCAGTGACGGAGTCACCAGTGCATGTGATCTCTGACCAAGAGCAGTGACGGGTGTTTGAAGGGGTCCAGTGACGGAGGAATGAAGGGTTCTGTAAGTGCTGCTTTATCCGCAGTAGGATTGCATGTTCTTGATCTTGCAGCTGAGTCTGAGAGCGTACACAGCTCAGGAAAAGGAAGATGATCAGATAATAGTAAAATGGTATTGTCATGTGAGTGTTTGTGTTTATTCTGGTTTTTAGTGTGTGCTTTGAAACGCAGTTGATTTGCAAAGGAGGGGAAAGAAGACTCAGTCTACCCTGCTTGAGACTTTTTTACTTCAAACTTGGACTGAACACTCAATATATGCATATGGACATAGGAGAACTATTGAAAGTTGATGATTGCTATGTGCCATTTCTTCACCCAACTTCACTTTCGAATCAGTATATAAACTTTCAAAAAAAGCTCACCAACACAGCCTTTGTTTTGTGTCAAATTTCTTATTTTTTATTTATTTCTCCAACAAGGGACAAAAGCACATGGCTTCGCGTAAAACACTTTGGTCATGTAAGTATATGTAATAAATTTGTATGATAAAGCATTGTATGTAGTTAAATCATTTGGTCTATTCGTGTGGAGTGCGTTGTTAGTATTTCCAACCCAAGAAACACGCTTTTTGTGGAAAGTAGTAGACCTTGAAGTCACATTCTACCATACAGGACAATGATAAAATGTCTATCATTCAATGGAAGACCTTGACTTGATGAATCCACACATCCAATCACAGTTTTGATAGGAAACTGAATTTTCAATTGGGTTGTGGTCAAGAAATCCAACCTAAGGTATTTGGGTTAGATTCCATCTAACATGGTTTGGCAGGCTGAGGAAAGGTGCTGTACATGACTCATGACATAGGGGTAATGTTGTAAACTGCACTGTAATATATATATATATATATATATATATATATATATATATATATAGAGAGAGAGAGAGAGAGAGAGAGAGAGAGATTCAGGTTGTGTTGCCAACACAATAAACACTCTCATACTTTGACAAAATCCTAATGATTGAGCAAGTGACCAAAACCACACACACACTAACACATTCTCCACTTTGGATTGTAAGCCCCCGCAGATAGAGTGTACTTTTTACCTTCTTCCACTGAAATCTTACAGTGCCATCAGATGAAATCTCACTGTTGAAGCAAATATTATAAAACTATCATTAAATTATCTTCATCAATTTATGACTACGTACAAAATTATTACACTGGACTATTATTTATTCTATGAATAAGAATACAAAAGAGACTAGTGGCTTATCTCAACAACGGCGTTTGTTTTCCAGTTGTGAGGTCACAAATCACTACTCAGTTCCACGGTCTCACGAAATGCACCCCCTGATGATAAGGCCACTAGGCAATGGAAGCAAATTCCAATTTGGATTGTTAATCCCAATATCAAGATAGAGGGTGATTTTTTGGAATCAAAAGTATTTGATGAAATTTCATATTGGGTGTAGAAGTAAAAAAGTTTAACGTGAGAATAAAAGACATAATTAGCCACTGATTTTCTTTCAGTGGCCATGTCATAAAATACATTCTGTTTGTCATGAATAAGAGACCAACTTATAAAATTTTTATATTATTTACCAGTCAAAAGTGGATGAAAATTCGTATATAATTCTTCTCATACCAACCGTTAATTATCTTAAATGAAAATTCCTTTTTACGAGACCATATAATAAAATTATAATACATAAATAACATACAAGTCTTATTTTACGAATGGATTTTATAAAGTTAAATTAATCATTTCTCTATTTAAATTTTTTTATTTATTAAGTAATTATTATGAAAGAGAAATTTGTGATTAAGCCTGTTTCCACCGATTTTTATTCTGTGAATAAAAAATAAGAGTGAGATTCAACCAAACGAATAAAGTTTGTTTTATGAAATATACATTTTGACCATTAAAGACCACGAGAAGGGCATTATGCTTTTAAAGACCATAATTACTCTAATCAGGACTGTCAATCAGAATCCACGTTAGAAACAATGTATCAGTTTTCGTACTCGCGTGTGTTCTGAGGAACCCTAAGAAAAATCAAACAGAAAGTCACTAATTCAATGAGGAGAAAATGTTTTTATTTCTCACAAAAATTATTATTTGATCTTTATCCTACTAAATTAATGAATTTAGTTTTTTAATTTCTGAAAATATCTGTTTAATTATTTTTATAAATAGTTTTAATATTAAATCATATTTCTTTACTATCATAAAATTTATTAAAAGACTAAATTTATATAATATATATTTTTCATCCTCTTTTATATCTAAATTTAATATTTATTAATAGTTTTTAGTGTCAAATTCATAAAATAATTAAATTCACATATTTTTATAAAGTGGGATTATCAAATAATTAATTTTTAAATATAGAGAAATCAAAATTAAAATAAGAGAAGCTGAAAATATATTTAACTTTCAATAATTTGTAAAAGGTAATACAATGGTATTTTTTTTTTAATTTTTATCTGACACACCATCGATTATATGACAGTAAAATATAACTAACAAAATTATATTATATAATAGGTTCCGAGTTTGGATTCAGATCAGCTAAGAAAGTCAATTTCTTCAAATAATATTTTATATATAAGTAACTTGGATTAAAAGGATATTAATATTAACCATTGGTTAAGAGAATGAAGTACAAAAATTTAAGTGATTGAATTACTAGTACCCCCTTTCCGGTTCCGTATTTCATAAACTGAAAACCAGTATAAGTATAATTCATAACTCAATCCATTTTGAGTTAATATTTACAAGGGCTAATTTAGACTGCTAATAATTTCTTTAAGAAGTAAATTCATTTATTATTTATTTACGAAGATTAAATACGTACTAAAAATATAAGAAAATTAACTTAAAGACTAAAATCGTTCTTCAACTGCAATCTTGAAAAATTACTGAATGACTTTATTCCAAAACCAAAATTTAACTGCGCAATTTTTTCAGGAACCAAATTGAATGTTGCTCTAAAAATCAGTAAACCAGTTGAGGTTGACAACATTTAGCCAGTGCAAATTTATACCAAGTCGACATCACAAACCACTTAATATTTTAGAAAAGCTTCACTAAACATTTAATATTCTCAGTTTCTGAACAAACCACAAACTACTTAAGTTTAGTCCTCACCTCATCTACGTTTAGTCCTAATTAATGAAAATTTAGCTTCTCTAAATTGAGCCAAATCTAATGAATACCGTCAGAATAATGAAGACTAAAAATGCAGAGATATGCACATAACTCATAAGAATAAATACATAATTCGATTGAAACCAAAAATGTAGAGATATGCACACAATTCATAGCATAAAACTTTAATTGCTTGCTGAATCCTTCATATTAGAGATAATCGCTAAAATAATCAGTAAAGGATTATAATTGTGTGCTTGATGATCAAGATTTAAAATCAGAAAATATTACTTTCATCCTATGCAAGAATATAATCAGTTTCCTCAATTTTGCTTTAAAACCTAAATAAAAAAAAATAAAAAAAATCTAATGCCGATTAATTCCAAACACATAATTGACACCTATTTGGCCAATAAATTAATGATCCAGTGATTAGTAAAGTGAAATAAACCTAGTGTTGTAATCGTACTCAATGTAAGCAGTGAAGATATAACAGATATGCATGTATCTTATATAGAATGGACATAAGACTTCTACATTACATTTATAGAATTCAAAGTGATTCACTTCCACCAGCTCAAATATCAACCCAAATAAAATTCAGTGTGCGCTAATAGCAACATAAGGGTCTACGGATTCTGAATTAAGCTAAGGTGCCATTTGCACCACCCCAAAAAAAGGTTACCTAAAGGACACATTTGTTAAATATCCACAGGACACACATTAGAGCTCATTTGACACTTGGGTTCACACTGAACTTTAAGAGTCTCCAGTGAGAGTGTTCAAGAACATGAACAAATAGGAATACCCCCATGCTAGAAAAAGAACTCAAACAATAATAACTGACAAAAACTACATAAAAAAGGAACATATGTTGGATAGGCCAATCAAAGAAACAATTAAGAATAATATGTACTAAATGTTGAAGATTCATCCCATTCTGAGTATCATATAACCTGTGTGGAGATATAAGGAGGATAACGTCTTACGCCAACCAAACAAAAGACATCATGCACAGTACTCCAATTTCGACTAGAGGAGAGTCGTTAAAACAAACAAAACACCATTCTTAATATCATTGAACTCTTGAGTACGCACCAAACTTTAATCTCCACTCATTGAGTATGCAGAACAGTAACATCACTAGGCTCGAAAAAAAAATCTAACCCCAATCATGTCATGACAAAAACTAAAAAATCCAGGAACAATATATTGAATATTGAAAAATGAAGTATCGTCCCATTCTGATTATTCGCCAGTTGTATAGCATTTGTCACATGTGGGAAGGTATAAGAAAATTTCTTCCCCCAACCAAATAAAAATCATCAAACAGAACCCTGAGTCAATCTGTGTAGTACTTCTATTTTCAGTTAAAGGACGCTTTCAAAAGTTAAGAATTCAAAGTAAACCACCATTCTAACAGCTCTATCTAGCTAAATTTCAAATTTTAAAATCAAAGACAAAAGAATACATAAATAAATATGATGAAAGCCTACTAATACAATTATGTTATACATTATTGTGAGGAGAAAAAGGGAGAAAACAACAAGTAAAAAATCATTGTATGATAGACAATCATCAAGTGAGGTTCAATAACCAAATCAATAGTAACTTCTCAATTCAATCACATGTCCAATACCAAAGCTAACACTTACTTATACTCAAAATTGGGCACAGGGGGTGCATCAAAACTCTCAAGAATCTTCGTTTCACTTTCGGCACCGGTGGAAGTTTCCTCTTTCTTCCCTCCACCGAACCACCCACCGAGCCAGCCCGGCGATCCCGCCTCCGGCAGTGGCGGCGGCGGTGGCTCGTCCATCATGATGGGCATAGGCTGCTGCGTGCTGAGGAACTTATTGAGCATGATCCCGGCGCCCTCGATGAGCGCGAGGAGGATGCCGCCGAAGGCAGCGGAGCGGGCGGAGGCGCCGAAGCCCTGGCGCATGGAGAGGAAGCCGCCGGTGGCGGCGCCAGCGACGATGGAGTTCCAGGGGTCCTCCTTCTGACGCGCGTAGACCATGGTGCAGTCGAAGGCGGAGAAGAGGCCGCCCCAGACTGCGAAGCTGCCGCCGACGCGGGGGGCGTTAAGGCGAACAGCCTGGGTGGCTCCAACGAAGCGATCGCCTTTGGGGGAGTTGTATAGACCCTTGAGGAAATGGAAGGCGGAGCCACCCACCGCTCCCATGCCGAACGCGCCGCCAATATCGTCGAGGATGCGATCGGGGCACGGTTCCCGAGACGTCTCTGGTGTTCCCATGAGGTTCTTCTCTCAATCTAGGGTTTGCTTTGGTACGTGAGGAGATGCCGAATTTCTCGCGACCTAGGGTTTGGTCTGTTGAAGAAGAAGATGAAGAAGAAGCAAAATACAGAAACAATTTTCTTCTTTACTCCATTCCTTTCAAATAATATTTCTTCAAAAAAAACTATATACAAATCTAAATAAAGATGCTAAATTAAGAAGCATGTGTGTTTTCCTCTCCTTTATAATATTTGAAATTTTAATCAATTTTAATTGTATATTTTTTTTAAAAATTTTGTTAATTAATTTTTTTATAACACTTATTTGTACATCTTTTTATAGCATGTTGAATGAATGTATTAAACTTGAAATTTAAATTGTTTAAAAAACTTAACTAAAATTATTAATTTTTAAAATGATAACCAATAAAATGATAAAAAAATACCTTTTATGATTCAATTATTTTAAAAAAATATTTGTCAGACTTGTCAATTTAATATATATATATATATATATATATATATATATATATATATATATATATATATATATATATATATATATATATATATAAAGACATCCTTTTATTCTTCTAAAATAATTCCCAATTTAGTGATACGTTTAAAAAATAAATATTTTTAATTCAAATACACATTGATAACTAGTTTATTATTTTGGACAATGATAACATTATTCATTTTATTCAGTAATTAAAAAATATCGATAATTTAGAACATAAAACGATGTTGTTAAGAATAAACATGTATCCAATATAGATATATTACATTAGCAAATATAAATCAATAAGTTTCACTTTTTCACCTTCTGTAAACTTTCTATTTGTTATTGAAAAATTTATAAATATATTAAAGGGAATAAATTGAAAATTACAGAAGTTGTTCAAGGAAACAATAATAATAGAAGAGAATAATAAACTTTATTGAGAGTTAAATATCCAGATATTGAAAAGATAAAATTAAGAGTAAAAAATAAGTATAAAGTAAAGAGTTAGAATGTGTAAATGAAAGATATGAACTTTAAATGTTTGGGAAATATTTATAGAGATAGTGTGAATAAGGAGTTAAAAATATTGAATTTAAGATTGTTAATAAAAAATAATAAGATATAAAAAAAATTAGACAATAGAAAGATATATAGAAACGGATTTTATTAAGTGATATATGTGTTTATAGATCTTACGTGACAAAGGTGGGCCCAAGAAAAGAGAAATAATTAAAAAAATTGTGAATTTTTATTTATATTTTTTATATTTTATTTTAATTCATTTTAATTTTTTTATTTTTTATATTTAAGTGTTTGAGTAGTTATAAAAAAAATAGAATACGATGAAATGAATGAAAAACATGATTATTAAATTATAAATAAATAAAATTTATTTTGAGAAAACTGATATAAAATAAATATTTTTTAATAAAGTTTTTATAATTTTGATCATGATTTTTTTATCTATTTATATTTATTTTATTATTGGTAATTGGTTAAATTTATGCTTATGTAATTTTTTTTTATTTATATTTTATTATACATTTATTTTTGAGAAACTTACTTTTATTTTACCTTTATTATTCTCGTAATTTAATGTTATAAATTATATTAAAAATTCAAATTATATATAAATTATATTTAATTGAAATACAGTGTGAAACAGTGTAACCATTCAATAAAATGTCAAAATTAGGTGAAAAATATGAGGAACAGAATTGATGTAATCAAATATTTAATTATTATTATAAAGTATACATGAAATTTTTTTTTTTTAAAGATTATATGTATGTTATTTTTTTAATTAGTTTGAAGACAATAATTTATTCAAATTTATTTATATTTTATGGTTATTTTGGTGAGTATGTAAATATTGGGCTTTAATACTCAAATCATATTTCAAATATTGAAACATTACAATGTTATTTTTATTAAAATTGGTATTTAGTATATTATTAGAAGATCAATATGCTACGCTTATAACTCTAGTTCATTTAATATTTTAGTTTAATGAATTTGCTGATTTTTTAAACTTATAGTTTGCAATTAGTTAAATGCAAGGTAAATTTTAATGGACTTGACAAAAAGACTAATTTGTTTAAATGCAATTTATAGTTAAGAGATAAATAAAAATAAATAAAGGCTCGATTTATTAAAAAAATTCAGTTGAAAAAATTAAATTGTTTGTCATGCATCTTCAATTAATTGAATTCTTCATGTCTATACTTCTAAGCACAAATAAAAAGTAATAAAACCATGAAAATAACTCTTGCTTCCTGTTATAACTTATTATTCAACATGCACAACAAGCAAAAACATTAAAGAATAAAATATTATTAATAAAAAATAATAAGAATAAAAGAGAAAAATTATAAAAAAAAGGAAAAAATTAATGATTTTAGATGTACGATGACAAATTAAAAAAATGAAAATAAAGTTAGTATATATCCAAACTAACATCTTACAAAATAAGTTGGATAACTTATTAGTTTTCAAAGAATACACGAAGTGAAAATTTATCTTAACCATTTTAAGTTTAAAATTTTAAATTTGGTTTTTCTCGTTTTGATAAAGCTAATGTGCTCGACATAACACATGCTAATAAAAACACGAGCCAAACTTAATTTCTAAGATATATATAATTACTGTCCTTAAAAATTTATTTGCGGTATATTACGTAAGTCCTTATAGATAGAACATGAACTTTCCAAATATTTTGAAAATCTCACAAACTAGCAATAAACACTTAAGAGTACAAAGGATAAAATAGAATGGAAAAGGATAGAAGAAAAGATGAGTCAAGTACTTATAAAGGAGGAGTGTGGAGTGATATATTTATAGGTGTAGTATGGGCAACAAACTCATATTCGCGTTCAACCTCATGGGTGGTTGTGCCTTGGAAACATGGGAGAGTAGAGAACTTCTAAGTTAGTGGAACACATTCTATGTTAGTGGAACACGTTCTAGGTTAATGGAACACGTTTTAGGTTTTGCAATATCCCTATTTTACAACAATCCCCCACATATTGCAAAACAAAAAGGAGATAAAAAAAATCCTAGGTCAGATGTAATGCATCAGAGCTGGTATAGCAGACTATATGAACTAATCCTAGAATGAAAACTTAACACACAGTGTAGTTGGTATAATAAACTATATGAACCAAAACACTTAGTGTGTATTAGCGGTTTAATAATCATAATACACTCTCATAATTTTTATTGTTGTGCTTATTAGGCCATGCATGTGCCCAATATTTATGAATATTTAAAGATCTTGCAAAGATCTCATACAAGTGGTCTCACTTGACACTCATATAGATGATTTCATTAAGTGTATATTGTCAATCATACACCACCCATAAGGGATATAAAATCATTAAAAACTTTGTTTAGACTAAAATTTATACACTACATAGAATTTTAATTACAAAGTTTAACCTCTCAATGATGCAATATCTAACACTTTCACACACACCATAGGAATAGACATAATTGATTTTAATTAATTTTAGTGCTAGCAGAACTAACAAGTGACTTGCTTTTACCCATATGAATATTATTCATGAGATCTCTAATCATAAAGGTTGGGTTACCATCACTTGTTTGTTTGCAAGTGGTTTGAGTCTCATTCCCTTCGATGTTTCTAAAATCATGTTTCTCCTTGGGGTTTCGTTAGAGGATCCGCTAGATTTTGTTTTGACTTCACATAGTCAATGAAAATTGTTTCACTCTTTAGCAGTTTTTTTTACCAAATTGTGTTTCAATGGTATATGTCTATTCTCTTCCATTGTAATTCTTGTTTTTAGCTATAGCTATTGTCGATTGGCAATCACAAGTATTTACACATAATAGGTTGGTTCCATCCCTAACAAAATGTTTGTTAAGAAGTTTTTCAACCACTCAACTTTACTACCAGTCATTTTAAGAACAACAAACTCTAATTCTATTGTTGATCTTACAATAATTGTTTACCTAGTTGATCTCCATGTAATTGCACCACCCCAAGTGTAAATACATAACCACTAGTAGATTTTGTCTCATATGAATAAGAGATCCAATTAGCATATATGTACCATTCTAGTACAGTGAGAAATTCACTATATTCAATGACATAATCTATTAAACCTCTTAAATATCTCATAAGTCTTTCAAGTGCATCCCAATGTTCCTGATTAGGACATTGACTACACCTACTTGGTCTATCTACTGCATACGCAATGTCAGGTCTAAAAAAGCTCATTAAATGCAGTAAGCTCCCAATTATCTGGTCATACTGAGGTTGAGAAATAGAGTCTCCTATATTTTTTCTTTAATTTAGAGTTAGTGTCATATGAGATAGTCACTTATTTGAAATCATAATACATAAACTTCCTAAGAAGTTTCTCAATGTATTGCTCTTGGGATAGTAAAATATTATCTCCATTCCTTATAATTCTAACTCTCAAAATCACATTAGTTTCACTTATGTCTTTCATTTCAAATTTTGATTCCAGAAACAACTTAGTTATAGAGACTATGCCAATGGTTGTACCAAATGTTAGCATGTCATTTACATATAAACATATAATGACACATTCACCACTTTTAAATATAAAGTACACATATTTTATCAACATCATTAGTTCAAAAGTCATCATAAAGTATAATACTATCAAGTTTTTCATGTCACTATTTTGGTGTTTGTTTTAATCTATACAAATATTTAAAAATTTGCACACTTTGTTCTCTTGACCAGAAACAACACATCCTTCAAGTTGAATCATATAAATTTCTTCCTTTAATTCACCATTCAGAAAGGTTATCTTAAGATTCATTTGGTATATAACTAGCTTATGGATAGCTACCAGAGCTAACAAAACTCGAATAGAGGAAATTCTAGTCACAGGGACAAAAGTATCAAAATAATCAATATTAGGTTTTTGAGTAAAACTCTTTGTTACTAATCTTGTCTTATATTTATCTATGGATTCATCGAGATGATACTTTTTCTTAAAGTATCATTTCGATGAATCCAT